GACAACCTCACATAGAAACTCTGCATATTCAGGGAGCTCCTGCCTTGAGGCATAATGGAAGAAATTTCTATTCTTACAGTTTCTCTAGTTGTGGTTGTTGGGGAAGAATGGGGCAAGGAAGGAGAAGGAAATAGAATGTAAAGTCAGCTAACTAGGCTGAGTGAGGTATTTTCTAAATGAAAGCTGTTCAGAATTCATCTGTTTATCTTCCTCTCCCTGCCCAACTGTGTGCGCTTGGAGTCAGCTTGCAGTCGCCTGTCAGTGACTGCTCATTTTCCAACGAATTCTTTAACCAATTGGTGTAGCACGATTCCACCTGCCACCTAGATAAGCTGTGAGGAGACTGAGGGGAAAAAAGAAAGAATAACTTCAAAGTTGGGAAACATTTTTGAAATTAGAGAGACAGAGATGGCAAAAAAATGTTCTCTCTAGTAATGAAAGAAACACAGACCTCAAGATACATTGACGAGTCTACAAAATTAGGAAAAATTTTATGAGAGTATTGGGTGAAATGGATACACTGACAGTGAGACTAACTGGGACCAACTTTCTGGAAAGAAATTTGGCATTGTACACCAACTTTTAAACCAGCAACTCATGGATTTCAGGTCTGGAAAAGCTTCATGCATGAAGTGCCGGAAAAGCTTGATGCAAAGAGATGTTCATCGTAGTAGCATAACTTAAATTAGCTAAAAAAATTGAAAACATCTTAAGTATTTAACAATAAGAATAGTTTAGTAAATTATCATATGTCCTCAAGAAGAATATTATACAGCCATAAAAATAATATTCACAAAGGATTGATAACATGGAGATTTTTCTCCTTATGTTAAATGGAAAAACCAGAAGTATAGAGAAATACAAATAGAAAAAATTGTAAAGAATATGATCACAAACATATAAAAAATACTCAAAGAAAAAAACTAGAAAGAATTATAATAAAATGAGAGTAGGCTTTCTCCCTGATAGTTCTGGATTTTTTACCCAAATTTCTGTCAAGCATTTCAAGATTTGTCCCTCGTGTCCTGCTCCCATGTCTTAAAACCTTCTGAAAGGGCAACAAGTTAAGATATTGTTTCTAATAAAGTTTCTGACATGGCCACAACTTTTTGTGGAATTGCTGGCAAAGCCTTTGATGGCTGTGCATGTCACAAGCATAAAGGAACCATGACAAAGGACTTCTCTTCTCCAAAGAGCAGGACAAGTAGGTTACCTGGTACCCCCGGGCTTCACCTGTTTCTGGAGCATCACGATTCTTATCCCAGGAGAAGTGCTATTTGCCAAAGGAATCTTTCACCACTTGAAAAACATCAAGGGCTTCTGAAATTTTCAAAAGGAGCTCACCAAGTAGAAATTCTTTGAAAGTGACGGTAAGGATGTAACAAATGAACCAAGGAACTGGCTCTTCCCAGAAGCACACTAGAGAGAAGCCTCTATGGCTGCTTAAGATACGCAAGGAGGGAAATTTTGGAGGGCAGGCCATCCTTTGACTGTTTTCTTCTTTTGCTCCAAATCTCAATCAGTTTAATCATCTCTTTAACATATGATTTATCAAAATAGCCCCCAATTTACTGCAAGCGGCTTCTGTGGCTAAACAATGGGCTGACCGCTCTTGGTGAAGGTATCAAGAGAGGGCTTTGTCCTGGGGAGAATAAAATAGTGGGGATTTTCTACGCTTTAAAAATGGAATCTTATTTTGAATGGTTCAATTTATTTTGAGAATGGACAGAATAAGGTGCACCGCTGGCACTGTAAGGTTTGTGTCCTGTAGCAATAAACCATTGCTTTAGTGGTGAAAGGAAAACCAGAGAATGCTATCTGAGCCTTCCACATATACTTCCTGTTGTCGTTTTCCAACTTAAGTATTCTTCTTTCAGGAAGAGTGCCCCTGAGCTAACATCTGTTGCCAATCTTCCTCTTTTTTTTTTTTTCTCCCCAAAGCCCCAGTACAGAGTTGTATATCCTAGTTGTAGGTCATTCTAGTTCTTCTATGTGGGATGGGGCCACGGCATGGCTTGATGAGCAGTGTAGGTCCGCGCCTAGGATCTGAACTGACAAACCCTGGGCCGTTGAAGTGGAACACATGACCTTAACCCCTGAGCCACAGGGCCGGCCCCCAACTTAAGTATTCTTAATGTCAACAATGATAGATGTCCATAATCATAATTGTGGGATCCATTTGCACTAATTCCCATCAAAGAGAAGCTGTTCTAAATATCACAACATGGTGACCGCATGACGGCTGCGTATTATCTGTTTTACACAGCAGCATCCGAGGCCACCTGTACTTTTCGATGGCACAGGACTTAATGGCACAATTTGACATAAAAAATAAATTTCTTCCACAACGACAAGTTTTAAAGTAACAGGAGGAAATTGTTTTAAATCTTTTTCTCAACGACTCTCTAAAATTCATCTACGAGTATTCCTGGTGCATCAGTTTCCTAGGGCTGCCGTAACAAAGTACCACAAACTGGGCTTAAAACACTAGAATTTGTTGTCTCACAGTCCTGGAAGCTAGAAGGCTGAAAGCAAGATTTCTGCAGAGCCTTGCTCCCTCTGAAACCTGCCTCTTCCTGGCTTCTAGTAGGTTGCTGATGATCTTTGGCGTTCCCTGGCTTGCAGCTGCGTAACTCCAGTGTTTGCCTTTGTCTTCACATGGCATTCCCCTGTGTCTCTGTGTCTTCACGTGCCTATCCTCTTATAATGACATCAGTCACAACAGGTTAGGGGTCCACTGTACTTCAGTATGATGTCATCTTAACTAATTACATTTGCAAACACCTTATCTCCAAATAAAGTCATACTCTGAGGTACTGGGGGGTTAGAACTTCAACTTATTTTTGGGGGGTGACACAAGTCAAGTCCTATGGGGCCCATGGATTCTGAGTTAAGAGCCTGTTGAGACAGACAGAATGGGACCAGAGAACATGAAACAAGGGAGCAGAGAAGGAAGAGAGAGTGAGACAAATGGAACCCACTTTGCAATTCTGCCTAGAAGTCTAGGGGCAGTGATCTCTGTCTGCTGATTTTGGTGCAAGGACTCTAGTTACTCGTGGCAACATATGGCCAATTCCTAGCTGAAGACGCTCAAGTTCTACACTTGAGTCCAGGCTGCAAAGTGAAGTTGATGGTTGTGTCCAGAACATTCTCTGCTGCTGCCATATGTTTGAAAATGTCTGGATTTTGTGCAGAGACACACAGCAGTATTTTCATAAGTGGAGTTACATAATTAGGGCATGGACTTGCATAATAATTAGCATGTGTAATTAGCCACAGACTTCTTGTCCTTTAATTAGACAATCAAGACATCTAATTACAAAATTAAGATGTAATTACGTGGCCCAAGATCGACATATTTCTTTCTACCCATTAGAGATTACATTTAGAAAATAATTCACAAAAACTGATGAAGAAATGAACCTAGAAGCCAGATTCGAGGATGTTGAGGGAAGTGTTAAGCGGACTAGTAAGTCTGCTTTGGTCTTTTCCGTTAAGTGTAAGGGGAGTTATTTAAAATGTCATAGTCTACTTGAAAGAATTACTTTTACACATTGTACAGTCAACCTTTGGTTCACATGCTAATGAAGAGGAACTTTGGCATGACTAACCCATGTAATTCACAAGTGGCTCTTGAGTGCGGTTTGTAATTACGCTTGAACGTGAACTTACATGTGATGTCCTTGGGGATTCATTCAAACCTGATAATGTAGCCATACGGTGCAAACCTTGGTCAGGACAGCTGGCAGGAGAACCCGCCTTCCCTTTCTGCTCTGGCGTGGTTCTCCCCATGGCCACTTTAAAAGTAGACCCATTGCTCAGAATTACACAAATCTACAGTTAACCTGGGTTGTCCCTTCTCTGAATATTTGAGTATTGGTGAAATGTTCTTATTTTAGGTGCTCCTTATTGGACCATGGGCAGGAAAGAGGAAGGTCAAAGATTATAGCCAGCCTTCCATCTTTCTAACGATAAGTGAGTGATTCTCACAGCCGTGGTTTTTTCTGTTTTTGTTTTTGTAAGTTCCAGTACTCCTATGAAGCCTGTCTGTAGTGATATTCTCTATTTTTTCCTTGCCCCTAAATTGAGATTTGGCTGATCTCTGCAAGATGCTAAACACCCAGTTTGACTCATTAATTTTTTTGAACTAACTGAACTTTTGACCTAATTGGCTGGCTGATTAGGGATTACAGCCATATGTTCAGGTTTTTCTAAGCCAGTTCCGACTTTAACTGTGTTATCCCTCTGTTCCCGTAAACTGTTGAAATATCCTAGTAATTCCAATGTTGTGACAGCCACACTGCACTTCTCAGACTGCCGCTTTCTCCTGGAAAGTGGCACAGAAATCTGTCGGGCCGCGTTTCCTGATATTTAGTTAAGAAAATATGCTTCCCATATGGTTTCAGACCATGAAAACAAAGACTTAAAGAGGTTGTAAGTGGTAGGTGATGAGGTTTTGTCTCCATGGTGTGTCCCCTCTGTCCTGATTTTTTATTTTTCCCGATTAGGCCATGGAATGGGATGAGGAACAAATTATGTGCAGGGGTCAGTTTTGACCTAGAAAATGCACAGATTTGAACAGGGAACTTATTTTTGCCATTGTTACTTTTTTGCCTTGTCTTTGGACACAATTGTTCACCGTAGATTTAGAGGCACAGGAACTGAATGGAGAGAGGCGCATTTTAAAAACAATTTATTGATGGAAATTTTACGTGGGCAAGGGATGTTTAGACTACATCATCTCTAAGGCATCTTCCAATAGGGAGATTTTAGGATTCCTTGATCTCTACCCTGTCACTCACTCAGGAGGAATTGATTGAGCTCTATTCCACCCACTCACCTCCAGGCCTTTACCTCTTCAGTTCTCAGACATTATCAGCTGGAAAGTCTTTCTTCTACCCTTGCTTCTGGAGGACTCAATTATTCTGACTCCTAATAGAGCCACAAGCATGAAAGCAAACTTTAGTTTCTCGGTGTTTAAAATGTGCTTTTTCCCTCAGGTATTCCATGTCAGCATTTTCAAGACTGGAGAAGTTGGGCATCAGACATCCCAAACCTTCTCCTTTTATTGGAAACCTGATGTTTTTCCGCCAGGTAAGGACTGTCTTCCATGATCTTCCAGCATAAGAGATGCTGAGCCTAGTGTAGATTCACCCATGAAGCATTGCTCCCATCTAGGTCACTCACACCTGGGGTTGTCTACATGTGAAGGTGCTATGTGATAAGCCTTCCTCCACTTGAATGAATTCTTATGTGATATTAATGATCCATCTCTTACCACTCATCAATATATATTGAGTCCTGTCATCCGTTCATTCATCTATTCAGTGAGTAGCTAAATGTGCCAGGTCCTGGAATGCAGAAGAAGTAGAAGTTACCTATGCCCTCAAGGGCACAGATCAAATAATGGTGTACCACACCAGATGGGATATACTCTAGTGCTAGATTGGGTGGTATAGACGGTAGCTGTGGTCATCCTTTGAAGGACAGGGAGATCTGTCAGGGCCAGAATCATTCTGGAGGACCTCCTGGAGAAGGGGGTCCTACAGGAGCAACAGAAACAAAGACAAGGACACACAAACCAGTTGGGGAGCAACATGTGTGTGACTGCACCTACACGAGAGCCATGGTACAGCTTGATGAGCAGCCTGGACTGACTGAAGCCAAAGATTGAGGAGCATGGGGCAATGCAGCTGTGAGAGAGATAGCTGGGCTAGATTACTGACGGTCTAGAAAGGCACATGAAGAACCAGTCATCCATGTACTATCATCTGTGAGTAGGAAAGGGACACTGATGTGGAAGATCACTCTAAGGGAGGGAATCCAACTGTTGTTGAAGTCTAGGTGTGAAGTGGTGAAGGCTTGGCTCTGGGTGGTGATGAGACTGAAAAGAGAAGATGTTGGGGGCAAAATTTGTACGTCTTGTGACTAATTCAGTATAGAGAATTCAAGGCAAAATGAGCCAAACATGCCTCTAAGCCTTGAGCCAGGATAACAGAGAGAATGGCCATGGGTTGACAGAAATAAAAGGTCCAGAGAGCAGCTGGTTCAGGGAGATGCCTTTGACTTTCTGGAGGCACATGCAAGTGGAGATAGCCAGTAGGCATTTGTAGATATAGGCCCAGGGCTCTATCTTCTAAGGTTATTTTTTTTTTCCTTGCTTTGGGTTTTCTCAGAAGCCAGATGGTTTATTCTGCTAACCCATGGGGGTGCTGCCACCAGACCCAACATCAGGAGCCAGCAGATCTTGCATGAGAAGAGTCACTAAGCCAAACAAAGGCAGGAAGGACTAAACTTGGGCCAATCCTGATAATAGCCTTTAAGATCTCCAGGATTTCTCCCACCCCTTCCCCCAGAAGGGCTGGCTGTGGCCAGATAAACAGTAACAGAGGCTATTTCTGTCCTTTTTCCTCCCCCTTTTCGGTTTCTTTTTTATTCCTTTCTGTCTGTTTCTCTGTGCAACAACCTTTTTCACTCTTTGTTGTTGCTGTTGTTTCTCTCTTCCTAGCGTTTTTTAAACATCTTCTTCTCTCATCTCTATCCCAGGGGTGGCCAATTCACAACTTTAAGCCCACAAAACAGCTATCTTATCAAGGCTTCCTGTGAGATCCTTGAAGCAAGTGTGAAGAAATCTACAAGTGTCAGAATAGAACAACAAACCAGATAGGAAATTAAAGTAAATAAATTTTACGTATTTCTGGGGAAAATGATCAGTTGCATTCAGTTGAGTAATTAATTTAGTATTAACATTTTGAGGAAAACAGCATAACTGTCGATGTGAGAACACTGTGCTCCTGCCGCTGGATAATTTCCACATATGCTCCTTTTCAGCTCATCATCCTTATATGTACAAATCCTGCCAAGTTCTTTCTAGAACATAGTAATTTCAGTGACTATTTTTATATGCATATAAGCTTTCCCTCATTTATGGCAAGCTTAGACTTTCCGTGAAAGTAGATTTAAGGACAATGGGATTTATTTCCACTAAGGATATCTACCTCTTCCATCCTTCAACTGTCTAGTCTCACCCACCCCTTATGTATCTGCCCGTGTGCTCCATTCCCACAACACAAAGCTGGCATTTTCCACTCCCCCACCCCTATACCAACCCATGCATATTTTCATATATACATCATTCCCACAACACAACAGATCTAGCATTTTCCAGCCTCTACGTATATCTGTACACATACTCCATCCCCACTACACGACTCCATCCTTACAGCACGATGGGTCTAGCATTCTCTGACCCTCCACCCTCACTCCACCCCCTGTACATCTCCATGTCTACTCCTTTCCCACTACAAAAATGTGTCTGATGTTTTGTCCTATATAAAGTTACCCTAAGGTTCTTACGTCTTGAATATGTTGATTTTAGTTCATTTTTAACTTGGGTGATGATAATTCAGAATTTATGATAATTTGGATAGACTCAGCAGACGTTTACACATATAGTGGCTGGGAAAAGAGGTTTTGCCAAAAATAATAATAATATAAACCAAATTGCACAAGGGAATGTTAACATAGTTGAGAAGGCAAACAGTTTTCAAATATTTTAGCAGCAATCATACACAAATAGTTTAAATACAGATGATCGCTCCTGTCCGTTAAAGCAGAGCTGGCTGAGACTTCCCCTTGGCGATATTTTTTTAAAAGCTGTTAGTTTATTCTAATACTCCAAAATACTTGAAAGCAATATACTTCAATTCTTTTTTATTGTTTATGTAATTGTGTTCTCACTGTTCCAGATTTTTTTCTGAATAAGTTTGAATACTTGAAATTTCGTTTAATCTTATTCTGACTATAGTGCTGTGTTTTCTGCAGGGTTTCTGGGAAAGCCAAATGGAGCTCAGAAAACTATATGGACCTCGGTGTGGGTAAGAGGGAAACTCCGTTCTTCTACCATACATTTTGATCTTTGCGTGTTGTATTGATATAGAAGTAATGAGAAGAATGGGAACACGGCATGCGTTTCTATCGCTGGAGGGTCCACAAAGACAGTGCCCAGCAGTACAGGTGAGGCTCCTGGAGGAGACCCCAGGGTTCCCCAAGTGAGCATTGTGCTAGCCTGACAGAGCGCCGGTTCCTAGTCTTTAAGACCCTGACCAGCTGGGTCAGGCCCTGGGTGCCTTGATGATCTCCCACTACTGCGCCAAAGGGTATGTTGCAATGGGACACAGTGGCCCTCCAGCCTCAGTCTAATTTGGTTTGATAACCCGTGGCAGGTCTTTCCCCGTGAACTTATCTAAACCTCACCTGGAAGTGTTTTGCTCAACTCTATGGGTAAAATATACTGTCATCTGTATGAGCATATCATCTACCACCCAATTCAGTACACTTTTGAGAGTGAAAAGGGGTGCTATTAATAATTACTCAGGACAAAAGAGGAAACTAAGACTCTCCTGGATATGCTAGGACATGTGGTCACCCTAGTTCTCAGCCATGTAAAGCAACACAGCCCTTCCCTTTGTTTTTTCTGAAGTTTTCCTTTTTATGTTTCAGAGTATGCTTTTTTTTTTTAAATAAAATTCCAGAATCTGGTGAACAAACCCACATTCAGACCATTTATCCTACTCAAGATTTAACAGAGCCAAATCATATTGATTCTCAGCATGTGTCTTTCCACACTGGAGCCCTAACCATTTTACCCTGTTCTCACATGGCTTCTCCTCAGGAACGAGGTGATTTTCGGTAGCTCTTTTCCAGGCCTCCGGGTCTGTGATAAAGGTTCAGTAAAGCTCTGTGGTGTTCCTCGTGTACGTCTTAACAGAGTCAGTGGTTTGTGAGCCCTTATAGGATATGTGACACTTGTTCTCCCAGTGATGATTTTTGAAAGGGATTGACTTGTACTCTTTCCGGAAATGGCCCTACCCAGGAGACCCATAGTTTTGGCTGAGTTCTTCTAGCCACTCTTTAGTTTGCTATGTGACCCTGCAAAAGTAATAAGTTAAGATGTTATACTAGATGTTCTCTGTATTAGTTTATTATTGCTGCATCAAAAACTACTCTAAAATGCGGTGACTTAGACAACAAATTACTTATCATGTGTCTAAGAGTTGGCTGGAACTGACTGATCTAAGCCACCCTTGGCTGGGAAGCTCAGCTGGGCTTCCTGGTGTACCTGCAGGTCAGCTGCGGGGGCAGCGCATCTAGGCCATGCCTAACTTGGGCAGCTCTGCTCCACCTGTCTCTCACCTTCCTTGGAACAAGAGGCAAGCCAGGGCAGGCTCTTCTCATGGTAAGGGCAAAAGTTCAAGAGAACAAACCCAACAGCACAAAAACATTTCAAGTTTCTGCTATATCATGTCTGCTAACACCCTATTGGCCAAACCAAGTTATATGGCCAAACTCGAAGTCAGGGCAGGAAGCACAGTCTGCCCACAGTGAGGCCAAAGCAAGTCACTGGGCCAAGCCTGACAATGATGGAGTAGGGAGGTGTATTCCGCTGATGGAAGGGCGGGGAGATGTGTATTTCTTTCAGTAATAAGCAACCCTACTCCACTCTCTAAGGTCACTTTTAGCTTGGTCCTCACTTTTGTTTTTTTTTTTAGTGCATAGCTACCTTAAGCATGATAGGTACTCAATAAAGGCTCAAGAGATTGAACTGTTTATCTTTCTCTTATCTTGTGCTGTTCTGTTGCTTTTTAAAAGTTCTCATTCCAGCTCTCTCTTTCTAATAGTGTCATTCTGCAGTTGACTTGACACTGACCTTGGAGACTGTCTCCATACATTTCTGAGACATAGCACTGATTCAGAATGACAGTAGCTTCCCCAGAATTGGAAAAAGGCCACCCTAAGTTTGAATTCTAGGAATCACTTCCCTTGAGTACTTCTTGTACAGATTTTCAGAGTAGAGCCCTTGGGTATTTTAAAATAATTTTTAAATGTCAGATGAAGAGTTTAAAGGGCACTGTGTTAACTGGTGGTTGGTGTGGTATGGTGTGCGTGTGTGTGTGAGAGAGAGAGAATGAGAGAGAATGAAAGACAGTGAGACAACTTGTTTCCTTGACAACAGGATGTCCAATCAACTTTTCCCCCAACTTTAACTAAGTTAACACAATTTGTCCTTTTCATTTCAAGAAAACTTAAATCAAAGAGAATGATTTCAAATGAGGTTGTAGAGATAGAAATTGCAGTATCATCTCCACTCTTTGTTCCCACCTCTGGTGAAAGGGAAGAAAAAGAAAGGTGATGGCATAATTTCTTTATACAAAGCTATCAACTTTCTCTGCTTTAGAATAAAGATGATCCATAAAATGCTGATTTCTTTTTAAACACGTCCACTCCTGGATTTAGAGGCAACAGAGTAATGGGGTACAGTCCTGTTTGGGCTCTGTAATCCTGAGGTGACTCAGTGTGCTCACCTTAAAATAAAAGGGTTGAACTAAAATATTTAAGTCCTTTGTAGCCCTAAAAATTATTTTGTTACTGCTTAAATTTTAGCAAAATGGTTTCACTGATTAGCAATATCAAGGATGGACTGTGTTCAATGAAAGACTCTTCCTTTAGGAAACGATTTGGTTTAAAATACGTTAAATTTTAGACTACCTTTATCTTTAGAAAATATTATCAATCCCAAGATAGGTCCCCTTAAAAGTTGAAATAATAGATTGATTCATCATTTGACTAGTGAAACCCCACACTGTTGATGCCAGAGGATCTCCTCTCTGTTCTGGACGTGAAAACCAAATATGATGATTATTTATGCTTATTATCTGGTTGTCATTGTAGCAACTCAGTCAGAATTTGGGTCCCCAAACTGGAAATTGGTTCCTTCTCCTTTTTCCCTCCCACTCACTGCTATGGGGATGATATTGCTGGAGAAGCTTTCTGCCAGAGGGGTTGACAACATCAGTGTTTATTATCACCATCACCACCACCACTATCCCAAAACCGCCACATCCACTATCACTACCACCACCACCACCACTCTAGCACCACCATTACTACCACCACCACCACCATCCCATCACTACCACTACCACTAGCATCACTATCATCATCACCAACCATCACCACCACCATCCCACCACCTCTATTACCACCATCCCATCACCACCACCACCACCACCATCCCGTCACCACCACCACCACCATCCCATCACCACCACCACCACCACCACTAACCCATCACCACCAACACCACCAAGAACAAAATGTCTTTACCATGTGGCTAATTATGTAGGCTGCTTTGCCAGGCTCTGTGCAAATAGAACTACAAATGTTGTCTCTGCCTTCTTTGAACTTGAATGTAAAGCAGGTGGACTGGCATTCATACCTATACAGTTTGTATTCATTATACTTGATTGGAATTCTTTTGAATTGCACAGAAGTATCCTTGACAGCGTAATATGAAGAAGTCAAGGCTTTATTGCTTTAGATGACCTCCAGTCAATTAATGATTACTGGTTATCTCCTTTAGTCTCAGAATGAGCCCCAAGTCGAATTTATATTCCTCCCCAAATCCTAAAAGAACAGCATCAACATGATCATCATACGTTTGTGATTGAATACAAACAGGATACAGATTATGTCCCTTCCAACTCGTAACTGACTTTGTAATCCAGTGGATGGCAAGCCTTTATTATGCTATTACTGTTACTTACTTATAAATACTTAGCACCCTAAGTTCAGCTCATCTGCAACTCCTCAAGCCTCCTATGCAAAGCCTCTTTTCCCCTTATCTCATCTGTCTTTTAGGTGATAGCTCTGCAGTTATTTTTTTATTTAGCCTCATCCCCAGTTCTTCTTGCCTCCACATCACTTTAGTCTTGATTTCTAGTATAAACTTAGCTCCCTCTTGTTGGATTTGACTTGCACGCTTTCTGGGGTCCATCAACTATGCCCCTCCATTTGATTAGTGGCCCTGATTCCTGAACCCCTTCATCAAGCCAGACTTGTTGAATAATCTCGTATACTCTCATTAGAACATTAAGTTGTAAGTGGGTAAACATCCACTTTGTACATAATTCATAAAGTACAAGCAAGTATACAGAAAAAAGTAAAACTGACTCCCACCTTGGATCCTTAGCAACTCCTCCTCAGAGCAGCTTCTGTTATCAATTTCTTACAATTCAAATGGATAATATATGATAGCTGCCATTCTTTACTTGCTTTGTTCATTAATGATATTTGGGAAATTGTCCCATTTCAATGCATTCATTCTTGTTAAATGCTATTCTACTTTTTAGGGATTCCATCGTACGGATGTAACCTAATTTTTTTTAATTGAGGTAAAATTTGTATATAACATAAGTTTTCAGGTGTACAACATTATAATTTGACATCTGTAAACACTACAAAGTGATTGCCACTAAAGGTCCGGTTACCATCCATTGCCATACAATTGGCATGTATCCTAATTTTAAAAACAAGTTCTTAATTGATGAACACCTTTTGCTTTTATAAACAATACTACAGTGAATATTCTTGTATATACATCATCGTTGTCTTGTGTTAGTATATCTGTAAGATAGATTCCTAGAAATGGAATTACTAGGTCAAAGATTATCTACATTTTAATTTTGATATTACTAAATTGCTCTTTCTAGGCATTATATCAATTTACACTCCCATTATAAGCACATGAGAGTACATAGTTTCCTCACATGATTGCACTAAAATATGTGGTCACGATTTTAAATCTTTACCATTTGACTGTTGTTTTAAATTGCATTTCTCTAATTGTGAGCAAGTTTGAGCATCGTTTCATATGTTTAAAATCCATTGTATTTTGTTTTCTTAAGAATCCTTTGCCACTTTTCTATTGAGTTACTGATCTTTTGCCAATTTATTTATAGAAGCTCTTTATACATTAAAGAAAATAGCCCTTTATATTTAATATATGTTGCAAATATTTTCTCCTTTCTATCATTTG